TGTGTGTGTGTGTGAGTGTGTTTTTGTAGTGTGAGTGAGTGAGTGAGTGAGTGTGTTCTACTGGTAATAGAGCTCGAGGTTCATGCCGTCATGGATTTCATCTGATGCTCGGAGTCAAGGATATGAACGATTACAGATATAAATGCACAAATCTCCAAAAACACCCTTAATGGACAGACTGAATGTTTCGCACAGATTTATGGGACGGTTTTACTCGACACAAAGCACTAACTAACTCATGATATAATGGTAACACTTTGCAATAAGGTTTCATTTGTTAAGTGCTTCAGTTAGTTAAATACTTCTTTAGTCAGCGTTTATTAATCTCAGTTAAGTTGAACTCTACATTCACATATATATATATATATATATAGACATTGCAGTGACTTTTAGAGATCTTATTTAAGGCCTGTCAAAATACTCTTTCCATGTGCATCTGGTCTCTCAGTGTGTATAAATAGTCCTGCTGTCACAATAACGCTTTACACACATAAATAAACAAATAAAATTGCAAAAACACGAGCTTCACATTTGTGCTTTAAAATGGACATCAATGAGGCATCAGGGTAAATGTGTTTCACATTCACTTATACACACTGAGGAACAAGATGAAATGCTTTTCTGCACCACAGATGCTGTCTGTACAGGTTGAGATGAATTAAAGGAATAGTTCAGACGAAAAATTAGCATTTGTTTAAAATTAGCATAATTAGATCAGGATGAGTTTGTTTCTTCATCAGGTTTGTAGAAATGTAGCATTGCATCAGTGTCTCAGCAATGGATGCTCTGCAGTGAATGGGTGCCGTCAGAATGAGAGTCCAAACAGCTGATAAAAACATCACAATAATCCACAAGTAATCCACAGCACTCCAGTCCATCAGTTAACATCTGGAGAAGACAAAAGCTGAAACAAATCCAGCATTAAGACGCTTTTAACTAAAAGTCCATATAATCCATAATAACTGTTCCTCCAGTGAAAAAGTGTTCTGGTCTGAATCAGGAGAGACATATGCACAGATTAAACACCCTTTAGAAGACAAAACCATCCAAAACTGGATGTTGATGTGAGAGGACATCAGGGGATGATGGACTTCTTCACTGGAGGAATCATTATTATGGATTATACACTCGTATTTTAGCCGAAAGCAATGGTTTGAAGGCAAACATGCCTTAATGATGTATTGGTTTCTTAAAAACATGCAGCCTTCACTTCTCAAGACATTAACTGCTGGACTGGAGTGCTGTGGATTGCTTGTGGATTATTGTGATGTTTTTATCAGCTGTTTGGACTCTCATTCTGACGGCACCCATTCACTGAAACTATTCCTTTAATGCCAGTCAAAGTTTAAACTTTTTTTCCCTCATGTTGCAGGAAGCTCAAGGAAAAGGAGAACAAGAGGGAGAAGGAAAAGTTGAGTCTGTTCCTGCGGTGATCCTGTTATTCCACTGTTTCATCTGCAGAAGAACCACTGACGGCGTAGTTTGAAGAAATACACATTGTACACTGTGTATTTGAGTTTGGCTTAAAGAAATGTATTTTTAAATGCTAAATCTTTAGATTTGACCAAACTGTTTTAAATATTTGCACACTGTAAGATACATTTATGAGACACCAAAACTTTGTTTACATACGAGTGAGAGAAAAAATGGCTAATTATGGATTTTTGCTGTTTCTCAAACTTTTAAGATACTTAATGTTAACTGTTAATATTGCTCTGAATGTAAACTTTATATATTATGAAGATGTTTGGCATTATTGCATAAAAGTATTGGTAAATTATGATATCAGTTCGAAAATATTGGTGTAATAATTTCTTCGCAGAAATGATTAATTATATTTTGCGCGTGCAGTGGTTGAGCTGGACTGTTTAGTATCTTCATTTGAGTGTGACTTTCATATTTATGTCGGAATGTATTTTCATCAAGAAAATCTCTCAATTATATATAAATAAAAATGTGCAATCAGTTATGGGGTTTGTTCGTTGTTATGTTTTTAACTAGAATACCATAGAGTCCATAATCCATAATAACTCTTCCTCCAGTGAAAAAGTGCATCTCCTGTTGTCTCTCACATCAAAATCCAGCCACATATTTGTTTAGAGTAGGCTTGCAGCGATAGACGGTGCTGACGGTGATATCGGTGTTAAGCCGCAACTCCGGTTACGCCACATGCCCACCGCGGCACCGACCCCCACCGTCGTTTAGATTTTTTATAGTAATAAAAATCAGTTAGTTCAGTAAAAGAACAGACACTACAATTACAAACTGAACGCGGCTGCTCAATGCAGCGTGCC